CTACCGCCATGGTCATTGCTCTAGAGGGTAGTGCTGAGCTCCTCTGCGCATATCCCGTACCTGGGGGCGGCCTCTCGAGATGCGGTTGGCCGCCATCACTGCCGGCGCAAGATGCCTCGGACTGCATGCGTACTGTGCAAGACTGTTTCAAAGCGCCTGCTGCGCATATAGAGGAAGAGCCGTCGCCCAAGCGACGTAAAACTGGCAATGGCAGGGCTATCTCCGTACTTTGGCGGGCGGACGCAGACGCAAAAGATAGTATTGTCTTGGCCAGAGTATCTATTGACTTGGTTAGTGGGCTGGCCAACATCTGTGATGCTGGACTGACCCGTATGCAGAACATGCCCATCCCTTCGCCAGATTTCATGGACACGACAGACGCAGCCACATCGCAAGATTCCATACATCTAGAACTCGAATCGTGCCACAGGGATCGTGCAAACGAGACCCTGCAAATTAGACTCCGAAACGTGGTCGACAGAACGGGAATTGACCTGGCCACCACAACCTCTTCTGCCTTCGCAGACTCGATCTTGCCCCACCTTCGGACCGTCACTACATTTGCTGCTATGCGTCGAGGCAAGAGCACCAGACCCGTGTCTCGGGCAGCTTTCTGTCGCTGTCAGCTGTACGCGCCCGGCGAGGGACGCAGTGCATACAAATTGGTTGTCGAGCTACGGTGGACCTTGGGCATGTCAGTGGTTGAGGATCCCGTCGTCACAGGCCATTATATGGCCGCAGATCTGAGTCTTCTACGCGTCTACATGACTGACGAGATTACAAGAGGCGACAAGAAATGGACTTTGTCTGATTTCTATACCTCGGTTCATGTGCCAGCAGCAGACATGGATATCTCCCCACGCATCAAACAGAGTTTGCTTGAGACCAGGCTTTTGCCTTTCCAAGCGAGGACCGTTGATTGGCTCTTGCGTCGAGAAGGCGTTGCATTCTCATCTTCTGGGCTGCTCGAGCCATTCGTCAACAGTTCGCCACCAGCATCGTTTAGGCAGACGCAAGACGCCCTGGGAACACCGTGCTACGTCAGCTATCTCCGAGGCTCTATTATCACAAATCTAGATGCAGCCAAGGACGACGCTCTGCGGTCACTGCGTGGTGGCATACTCGCCGAAGAGATGGGCTTAGGTAAAACAGTCGAGCTAATCGCACTCATATCCCACCACAAGCGAGACATCCCCGAAGGAAACGTCTACGACGTATACACTGAAGCTGAAGTTAGGCCCTCAGGTGCTACATTGATCATCACCCCACCCTCGATCCTAGAACAGTGGATGAGCGAATTGCACACTCACGCCCCTGACCTCAAAGTCTACCATTACAAGGGTCTCTCACCTCCAACTGCACCAAAGAGTGTCCATACCACATCCACCATTGAGCATCTCCTGCAATACGACGTAGTGCTAACGACATATCATGTGCTTTCGAAAGAGATCCATCACGCTGTACCTCCCCCTGAGCGCAGCTCTCGGCGCCCCAAACGCCACGAGCGTCGCATTAGTCCTCTCGTCGGTATCTCCTGGTGGAGAGTCTGCCTGGACGAAGCGCAAATGGTGGAGCGTGGGGTCAGTCAGGCCGCCCAAGTAGCGCGAATCATTCCGCGGTGTAACGCCTGGGCAGTTTCCGGCACTCCTCTTCGCAAGGACGTCCAGGATCTACGTGGTCTCTTGATCTTCCTCAGGTGCGACACATTTGTAAACCACGAGGCGGTCTGGAATCGCCTCGACAAAGCGTCGTTCAAGGGCATTTTCAGCGAGATTGCCCTACGGCATACCAAGGACAGAGTCCGCGATGACCTTCAGATACCGCCTCAGAAACGCGTTGTCATTACAGTTCCTTTCACAGCTATCGAGGACCAAAACTACAGCGAAATGATGCGTCAAATGTGTGATGCATGTTGGCTCACGTCTGAAGGGCAACCCTTAGAAGAAGGTCGCGACGAGACCCATCCTCAGGTTGTCGAGCGCATGCGGGAGTGGCTGGTCAGGCTGCGCCAAACGTGTCTCCATGCGAACGTGGGCCGAAAGAATCAAAGAGCCTTGGGTGGAAAGAAGGCGGCTTTGCGCACCGTACACGAAGTTCTGGAGGTCATGATTGAGCAAAACGACACCAAATGGAAGTCAGAGGCTCGCGAAATGATCCTATGTCTGATCAAGATGGGTCACATTCATGCTTATTCCGAAGATCCAGTAAACGCACTTGATTACTACTACAAAGCTCGGGAAGAAGCAGAGACATACATCAAGATATGCAGAGACGAGCTACGCGCGGAGCAGCAGAAGCTGGGCCGCGCATCTACAGCCGACCTTCGTGAGGGTGATGAAGAACAAGACGTAGCTGCTGATAAGATGGGCCGTATTCCGATTCTGCGTAAATCGCTACGGTCATTTCTGGAGCTTCAGCATGCCGCTCAGTTCTTCAGTGCCACTTCGTTCCATCAGAGAAAAGAATTGCGGATGCACAACACTGACCCAGGATCGGCTAGGTGGCGCGAGTGGGACGAGTCTGAGACGCTTTACTACGAGGCAGCCAGGGTGATCCGCCATGAACTGCTGGAGGGATCGAAGAGTAAAGCGCAGCAGCAAATGGCCAAAGTCAATTCCAAAACGCCTTTCCACCTGCCTACGATCGCTGACCTCCCAAGTCTGGGGGGTATTGAAGCGCGAAAGATTCTCGACACGATGGACAACATCAGTGATTATTTGAATGAACAAGCTCAGCAGATACACGCTTGGCGCACGAGAGTTGTTGACATTCTTCTTACGCGCTTGGTTGATGACGAAGACGACAAAGAGTTGACAGGAGAAGAATACGATGACTCGCTTAAGGCTCAGGATGAGCTATACGTTTACATCATGGCTCTTCGAACACTTGTCGCTGACCGCAACGCTGCTGTAAACGGTCTGCAGGACACTCTTGTCGAACACGAGCTTAGGGCTGCCGAAAAGCAAGCCTTGAGGAGAGACAACGACGAAGGCGATCGAGGCCACGCACCTCAACTTGTGCTTGAAGTTGTCAGGAGACGACGCGAACTGCAATCGAAACTCCGGGCTGGATCTTTGAGGGGCGTTATCTCTAGTGTTCGCTCCTTGATGACTACTCTGCAATGGGGAGCGAACAATGGTGATGCCCGCGCTTCTTCAGAGTTCAATATCCTTCAAACGCACATCACCACGGTTCAGGCTATAGTCACAGAACAGGCAAAGGCTATAACTGAACTTGAGAAAGAGCAGGAACTGTATCGAGGCACCATGAACCAGCGTCTAGAGTACTATCGGCAGTTTCAGCATATTTCCGATACCGTCGCAAAGTACAAGGAGACGTTAGACAGCAGATTCGACCAGCGCGAGTTCGACAGAACCGACGACTTGCGAGAGAAACGCGAGAACAACGCCAATGGCTTCAAGACAAAGTGCACTTATCTGAAGCATCTCCGGAGTGAAAATTTGAACGAGACGACAGCCGAATGTATCATTTGTAGGGAAGACATTGAGATCGGAGTCTTGACGGCTTGCGGTCATAAGTACTGCAAAGAGTGCATCAATCAATGGTGGCAGGCACATCGGACCTGCCCAACTTGTAAGCAGAAATTAGGCTCGTCCGACTTCAAGGATATTGTCTTCAAACCGACGGAAATCAGAGCGGAAGAAGAGACAAACGCAGCTGCCAGTCGGACGCATGCTTCTACGCCAGGCTCTTCGTCAGCCACGTCCATCTACTCTGACTTATCTGACTCAACGATGAAAGAGATCAAGATGATCGACTTGGAAGGCTCATACGGCACAAAGGTAGATATGATCGCGCGTCACTTGATCTGGATCCGCAACAACGACCCTGGTGCGAAATCCATCATCTTCTCTCAGTTTGGCGACTTCCTCGAAGTGCTCTACGAAGCGCTGAAAAAGTGGAAGATTGGTGCCAGCAGTATCACTGACAAGAACGGCATCCGGGAGTTCAAGCTAGATCCCAGTGTCGAGTGTTTGCTCCTGGATGCAAAAACTGATTCTTCAGGTCTAAGTCTTGTGAACGCTACTTACGTCTTCCTTTGCGAACCGCTCATCAACCCCGCAATCGAACTCCAAGCCATTAACCGCGTCCATCGAATCGGGCAAGAACGACCCACAACGGTTTTTATGTACCTTGTCAGCAACACAGTCGAAGAAGCCATCTACGATATCTCTGTTGCCCGACGCCTCGAGCATATCAGCAACAACACATTGTCCAAAACACCGATGCAGTCTTATCCTACGACTCCCGCTATCAAAGAACAGACGCTGGACGCTGCGAACTCGGCTGAATTCCAAGCTGCGCCCGTCAAACAGCTCCTGCGCAAGAAGGGCGAAGGAGAAGTTGTCAAGGAAGACGACTTGTGGCACTGTCTTTTTGGCAAGCAGCGGAAAGCGGCGAAACCCATGGTGGAGAGGGAGGTTGGCCGTGAACTAAGGGCGCAGGCCGCGGAGGCGAGGATCATGGGATCGGCAGATGCAGGTCCCAGTGGCGCGTCGTCGACTGCACATTGGGACACGTTGGGACAAGGTGCGGTTCAAAACTTACCAATCCTCGCAAACAATACGCTACCTTCTGATCTTACCGAAGCTGCCCAGTCGATTTCATTACCCTACGATTATATAGCACGTCTCATGGGGTAATTATATCAATATTGCAATAGTACGGTACTGGGTAACTGTATCCATATACTCGAGGCGTGCTTGATGAGATCTGCACGAATGAATTTCAAAGAGGTATGTATCGACATGATCACAAAATGCACATTGGCGTGCATGACTCTAATACTCACCGATTGATGTGATCAAAACACAGCTCGTAAGTGTATTGACATGAGTGACAGCACAACGTAAGTGATAACGAGGGTGGGGGTATCTTGCATTAAAGGCAGTATGACAGACATTCCACATCGAAGCATGGTTGAAGAATGCAATGTTGATATTCATATCTGATCAGTAAGAGAAATAGCTCGTAGAGAGCGACGAAAGGCCAGCCTGTGTGGTATCATGCTAAAAAGAGGCACAAACGCCAGAACCAAATGCAAACGCACATGCAATGAGTATGCCAGCCCAGTGTAAAGAAGGTCCAAAACGCCAGCGCTAACAAAGAGAGGGAAATAATAGCAAAGAGGGAAGAACATATGTACGAAGAGAAGAGAAAAAGCATCACACGAGTGGACCGACAAACCGAAAGGAGGTGCTGCAGCGCCTATACTCTGGGCGTCCTCCACTCCCTCACCTCCTGCCGCCCACCTTCGTCAAACCCCGCCCGCTCCATGAGCTTCGTGAACGTGGTGTTCGCCGAGTCCGCCGTGAAGCGATTGTCGCGCCGCATACCAGGTGCCTGTGGGGGAGCCAGGAAACTCGGTGCTGGCATCAGGACATCAATGGTCTCTGAACTGCCGCTGCGCGCCACATTCGGACGCTGTTGCCCTTGCTGTGTGTTGAATGTCTGCGTGCTGGTACGAAGGGAACTCGAGCGCCGACTAGCAGAATGAATGCGTTTGGGTTTCGGAGGCGGGGTCTGGTACGGATCTGTGTAGTTCCCTGCGCGCACGGGAGGAGGGTGGAGAGGTGCAGGGTTCGATGGAAGACCGCCCGTGAAGCCAAAATTCAGTTTGGGGGTGCGGTCCCACATGCTTTTTATTCTGGGGGTGAAGCCGTGGACGGGCGGGTTGACATTTGTTTTCTTCATGCCTTGGACGATTCGGTCGGTGGAGTTGGGGCTCGAATGCGCGGAGTGGCTGCCCCGGCGCATGAAGTCGGTCCGGGCGGCGTGCTGGGGGTCGTAGATTGGGTCGCTGATTTGACGTGCTACATGGCCGAAGTCGCCGGAGTAGCGCTCTTTGGATTGTGACTCGCGCCTTTTCTTGATGATCCAGATCAGGGCGAGGGTGCTGAGGGCGCCGATGACTATGCCGGGGAAGAAGCCAGCTGCGAAGGACCGGCCATCGAAGCCCTGCTTTGTTTGGAGTGGTGCGGTGGCTGAGCAGTCGGAGGTTTGGGAGGCGGACGCTGGGCTGGTGGAGGAGGGTGTTGGGTTTGCGGTTGAAGTTGGAGACGGGGATGACGATGGTGAGGTATCCTTTGCACACATAGTGCCCTGGCATGTGTAGCCCAACGAACAGCACTTGTCGCCGCATTTGGGCAGGTCAATGCCGTCGGTCTCTGAGAGATGCATCTGGTTGTCTGGATGGAGCGTAGCGTTCAGCTGCGTGGTGTCGCAGGTGGTAGGCTGGATGTAGGCGCAGTCCGAACCGGATGGACAGCAGATGACTGATTGTACGTCTCCACCGTTGAGAGACATGCAGGTTGAGTCTTTGGGGCAGCAAAAAGAGGAAGGGAAGTCGGATCCGCACTGTTGGAGGTCTGCGTTCCCTCCACATGTTTCTGCTTGGCGGAGGAAGAGACTGGACGCGTGTGTCGTTGTGATGAGGGATAGGAAAAGGCACGCGAGGGACATCCTCGAGAGCCTGGGAGAGGGCGTGACTGGAGCCATGGTGGTGAAAATGGAAGTTGTGGCGGTATTACGTTCAAGAGGTCGGGCCTGCGAACCTCAAGTGACTCGGAATGAAACAAAGCAATGAGAGAGCGATACGGAAGCAGAGTACGAAACAATGGAACAGACAAAGACACGCCCTACCTTGGGTATATCTACCTGCAAGAACTAGACTCGAGGAGCCGCAAGTGACGTTCCTCACGGCGGGATGGGAACAGTCGGGCTCTATCGTGTCCACCCATCGTCGCCTATGTTCTGAGAATAGAGCCAGCCGAGGCGCCGAGTGGACAATAGGCATTGCATGGCGGGCGGAGGGTCTGGCTAGCAGCGTCTGGTGGCAGGTGACTGCGGTGTCTGTGTGGCTCTGCGTGGACGAGCAGGCGAGTGGATGAAACGAGTGACGCGGGCGCTTGGAGCCCGGCGGGTTTTGCACACGCGGGCGCAGAGGGCGAGGGCGCGTCGTGATTGGGCGGGGGGTTAGCGCGACGATGCAGAGGCCGGAAAAAGATGAGCTGCGAGCAACGGGCTGCCGACGACAGTTCGCCCGCCGCCCGCAACGACAGCACACATGATGATTACACGGTGTCTGGCCCGCCGGCCGGGAGCCATACGATGTGCGGCCGGGGCCTGGAGGGTATGTTGTGGCTGCGACGGTGCGGCGTGCCTGACTGACGCTGGATAGAGAATGCCCTCGCCCGCCGCCCGCAGCCTCTACACGGTGCCCCCGCTGGACAACCACGCCCAGCTGGAGCAGAACGGCATACCGGGCGTGCTCTCGCCCACGGGCTTCCGCACCGCCTACACCGAGTACCAGGGGCACATCATCGACGAGCTGAATGCATCCACCGCCGGTACGACATGGCCTCGTCGAGTCCAGCGCGGTGCCACAGACTAACATCGCTTTGCAGGTACGCCGTGGGAGAACCAGGAGGCCAAAGCCCTCGTCGTCGACTTCGCCCGTGACCCGACCAAGGCGTACGCCTTCAACATCGCCAGCATGGCCTTCAACAACCACTTCTTCTTCCGCGGCCTCAACACCAACCCCGACGTGCACGCGCAGCCGTCCAAAGACCTCCACGCCCACATCAACAAGCACTTCACTTCGCTCGAGACCCTGCGCGACACCTTCCTCGCCACCGCAGAGTCCATGTTCGGCCCCGGCTTTGTCTGGCTCGTGCAAACCAACGACAACAGCGTGGGCGGCACTCTGCGCATCCTCCCCACCTATCTTGCCGGATCGCCCCTGTCGGGCGCCCACTACAGGCGGCAATCCCACGACCTCAACACACACAATGCCGACTCGTACCAGAACATGAACAAGGTGGGGTCCTTCGGCGTTGCCGCGCAGCAGGATCAGAAGCCCAAGAAGCCGTTGGGCGGCGTCGATGTAGTGCCGCTGCTGTGCGTAAACACGTGGGAGCATGTCTGGCTGCAGGATTACGGTGTCCGCGGGAAGAGGGCCTTCCTCGAGCAGTGGTGGGACAGGATTGACTGGGACTTTGTGGGCCAGAACACAACGCTGAAGAGCAAGAGCCCTCGATCATTCATGGGCGCCTGAATTCATTAGGGCTGTACACTGCATGTAGACATATATGTACAAGACATTCTGAAACTACGTCAAGGCATCTTTGCATGCATGGCGCCGGACGTCGACTCGGGCATCTAGCAGCACGCAACAACGTGCGACAACTACTTGTCGCCCACTTTGCCTGTGAAGAACATGTGTCTGTACTTGCTTGGCGAACCCATCTCACTTTGCATCCCTCTCACTGACTATCATTGTTCAAACGCCCTCAGGCATCGCTGCAGCTGCATGGTATTCCGAACGCTGTCCAGGCCTCGTCTTCTCTCATTGCAGGCCATACTGGATACGGCGCGACATGTACTGGCCTGCAGCACACCACCGCCAGTGGCCCAACCCGGCTCTGATCAACCACCACGTCCTCAAATCTTCACCGGATGTTTCTTCTCACACCACCAGATGCCGGCCTCTCAAGGCAGATTCAAAGTACACTTTCACGATGCGCTTGTCCGCTCTTCTCAGCCTGAGCCTTGGAACTCATCAGGTGGCCAACTCGCGCCCGTACAGCCGGCGTCATCCTGTGCCACACCATTGGCGCGCCTCTAGTCAACTGTTGACGCGCAACACCTGAAGACGTCCGCGGGTACTTCGCACTAGGGATGTGGACAGGTATACCGACAGCAAAGGCTGCAAACACGTAGTCGAGTTCCAGTTGAGGGCCAAATCCTTCGAGGCCTCCTGCGCGCGGGCAACTAGGAACATTTATTGGAAACACTGACGAGAGCGCACCGCCTCCGCCTTGCATGCTTACAATGCACTGATTTTCGCCCAGCCCTGCGGCAACTTCTGCATAAGTTCAACATTTCGCGTGCTCGCCTGCCTTCAGCCGTGAGCCTTGGCCAATCACCACGCCGTGATCTTCGCCGGATTTAGTCGTCGGTCAACCAGCGCCCTGCATTAATTCCTACACTATGACCTCACACGACTCTAGGGTTAGCTAGTCGGTAACACATATCGAAGGATTTCGACTCTCTTCGGTGCGGTTGCCTTTTCCCCAAGACTCCGTTTCTCCACACTGCTCCTTTCGTCCCTTTTTCTCAGTCTGGTATTGTGTTTCCTAGCGGGAGGATGGCAGTGCTTGCGGATATATTACCGGTGGTTTCGAGGAGCTCAGCTCTCGCGCTGAAGCTATACGGCGTTGCCGTGGAGTCGCCCGAGGCCGCGAAAGACCTAGTTGCCGTTGCAAACAAAATAAATGGTTTCGCTGCAATACTCAAGCAGCTAGGGACAATCATCAAAGAGGACGATCGCTTGCCGTCACCCGAGGTACGTAAAGATGCGCGAGTCGAGCTGCAATTACGGGAAAGCATGGCCTATTCCAAGATCGGAGTGTTGTACTGGCATCACCCCATGAAGATTTTGGGAATATCACCTTTCTGCTCTGTCCGACCAAGGGACTTGAAGACATTAGACAAGGAGGAGCGAATGTTTATACTTCGCTAAATGAGGTCGTAGAAGCCCTCGCTGACATTCATCTAGGCCATCGACACCCTGGACGATGCCATCGATCAGGCTCAGAACTTGCTTACCAGCGTCGAAATGACTACCTCGATCGAGAACGACAAGTACCATGACCGAAGAGACGGTGTTCGCTCTACTCAACACAGCCATCCCCGTTTAGATCATTCGACCAAGGCAAGCTTAGACTATTTCACAGCTCACCTGGAAGCCTTGAGTATGACGCTCTCTGTTCTGCTGCAAACGTTGTATGCAGCACAGACTATAATGTGGTCAAAGTAAGTGTCATATCCTTACACTGCACTAGGTCTCCGACCCAGTCGCATCCGCATGGCTCTATCTTCCACTTCAGGTACATCGTGGCTTGGAGTAGTATGCTACTGACAGTCTTCCAGGTTACGTCCCACAGTATCTCCACAACAAGCTGCTAAACTTGTTGATAACGAAAAGATTCAACTAGAGGCACTCATTGTTCAACAACAACTGTCCATCTTATCAGCTTCAAACTTCTATGAACAATCGCCACGATGTGATGCGCGCTTATTGATGGAGGCAGACAGTTCCCAGAGCTTGGTTGTCACAGAGCATGGCGAAAGCCCTAGGCCGACCAGCCTTCGGTCTTATCAGGATGAGGACCTGAGAAGCCTCGACACGTCGGTATACACCGAAGCGAATGGCCTACCTGCGGTTTTCAGTATATCAGCTTCGCGCGCCGAGCACTTGCTACAACAATGGACGAGTCTGCCTCTGTTTGAGCGCCGCTTACGAGACGAAGAACGCGAACTGCAAAGGCAGAGACAAGAATATCAACAAGCTACTGTAGAGTCAGATAGCGAAGAAGAGCAGAGCCGCACATCGAAGCTTTCGGGAGATGGCGCTCGGCGAACACAAAGGTCGGGCAGCATACAGCCGCTGTTCACTGAGACCAGCAGCATGTCCAGTCCACGACAGGAGAAGCATTACGGTCCGCCTGCACCGCCAACACCTATAGCTACGCCTCGTACATCACGGACGAGCATGCCTGCTACAAATGAACAGCAAACAGCTGCTTCACCCCGATCTAGTCTAGGGAGTCTCCCCATCGAGGCTGCCGCCGCGGTAGAAGCGAAAGAGGAAGACAGTGAAGTCGATCTAGAGATACCTTGGAAGTTGTGTACGCGCAAATACTACTGGCGCTTTGTCGATGCCAAGCAGGTCAGCTCGAACACTGATCAAGCGTATTCACTTGCCTACTTGGAACGTAGCAGTTGGACCGAAATCATGGCTAGTTGGGTGTGCAAAGAAGCAATCAGAGAGGCTGGTTTCAGGTTTACACAATATCAAAAGGAGCGGAAAGATCATAGGAGAACGAGAGGGGAGACATGCTTCTGCATCGAACGCCCCTTGCAGTTTGACCAAGTCAAACGTCTTGTCGAACGTACAGTTGACATCTACCGGAAAGCAGCACCACAGACTCCACCTCAACAACTACAAGCCAGGAGATCATCTTTCCATCGTGCCCCACCGCCACCTACTGCTCTAAAAGGAAGCGCATTCGACCGCGACCGGACACCAGTGCCCCGAAACACACATGCCCCGCTTGATCGCACGAACACAATGCACTACGCACCGCCGCCTGGGCCACCCCCACTAGACCGATCACTCTCGATGCCTGGACCGGGACTCATCCCATCGCCACCCCAACAAAAGACCAACACCCGCACTCCAAATCTCCAGATACCGGTACCCAGTCAATACGCCCCTCAGCAACCACCACCCCCTCACTCTCCACGAATCCCACAGTACCCACCTCAAGCCAACGGATACCCATCTCAGCCGATGAACACACCAACAGCACCACCATACTACCCACCGCCGCCAAAGACCCCTTTTGCAAACGCACCCATGCCCCCACATGCACAAACCCAAACCCAGAATTACCCTGTACAAGCCTCGCCTCTCCGCCAATCCTACATGAACTCCAGTTTCGCTGGCAACCGACGATACGACGACGACTTTACCACATCCGAGTCTGAGCTCGAACGCCCGAGACGGCGCAGATCCAAATCGAGGAGTAGGACGTATGAGAAGGAGCGGGAGAGGGAGAGGGACAAGTATGGTAAGAAGAGTCATACAGGGAGGAAGGCCGCGGCGGGCGCATTACTGGGTGTCGGTGGGTTGACCGCATTGTTGGATGGTTTGAGCGGACTGTAGGATGTACGAATTATATAATTCAGTGTTGCTATCACTTTGGGGTTTTGAGTACAAGGTACCCAACGGATTAGTTGCTTGTATGATGACTTACGAAAGCATAATGACGAAACGTTCTATTTTGCACCTTCTCTACCGTCTTCGACCTTTCGAAACGAGATGACGAGATCCTCAAAACAAGCATTAGTCAGAGCACCAGTCTGGGAATACCGGCGATGCATCGAAATCAGAAAGGCGTTAACTAGGACGATTAAAGGAATGACTACGTAGGGACAGAATGAGAATACGCGATACCATCCGCCTCTTCCGACCACCCGTTCAACACCCCATCACATCATCCCTCTTGCCAAGCTCCTCAAGCGTAGTCTACTCTAGCGAAACCATCGTTCGCACAGAGCATACCCATTATTATTCTGCCATTACCGCTTCATCGTTGTTACAGGTGTGCTCGCTAGCCAAGTCCGGATCCGAATCATTCCCGGACTTGTCCAGGTAACTGGGTATCTCAAGTTGAGCCATTCGCGCAGGATCCGTACGTGTGATGCGCTGTGGAGTTGCAGGCCATCCTCTCATAGTTTGATCTGAGATGGACTCGTCGGATGCGATGGTGTGCTCCGTGACCTCGTCGCTCGTTTCGGAATGGGAACTGTGTTCGCTGAAAGCATCAACTGGCACACGCGGTTCGAGACGTGTGCGTTGATCGGTAGCTCCGTCGACTTGTAGTTGTGCTTCAGTGGCTCCCTCTGAATCATTTTCTCCCTCTTCAAAGCCAACCACTGTCTCGCCAGCAGGCTCAGAAACCGCCTCACGTTCCCCAACTGTGGTTGTTCCACTTTCCTCCTGCCCAGTCACCCATCCTCCAACAACCCTAGGCATAACCATCACCTCCCTCAACCCCCCACTTGGTTGCTGCACAACAACACCCTCAGCACCCGCGCCGTCACCACCCCAAAACCCCGTTGTACGCCCTTCAATCAACAGCTTCGATTCCTTCTCGTTCTGGATCAGCGAGCAGCAAGTGCAAAACCATGTCTTGAGTATGTCGACAACACAAGTGCCGCCGAGGTCGCCTAGTTTGCGGATCCGATAGGTTTGCCATGCGAAGGGGACGCAGACGAGGAAGCCGTGCGCGAGCGGGGTGCAGCAGAGGAATGAGTAGCCGTAGGCTATGCACTATTCCCGGTAGTGTTAGTCAGGATTTTGAGAAGGAAGATCGCGGTGGGATAGTGTGGGACGCGAATCGAAGCTGGGTGAAACAATGACTGGGAAAGAAGTGACGTACTGGTACGTTGACAATCTCATAGCCACTCATATCGCCCTTGTAGTGGAGACGATGCCACGTCTTTCCGCAAGTGACGCAAGGACAGAAGAACGTGACGATACCTACGCTGCTTGTTAGTTCATCGTTTTATTATACCTGTTCTCACACCAACGTATGTGGAAAGACTTACATAAGGGCAGCGGATTCAAGCAATCCTAAAGACTTGTGTTCCACGACTTGGTACGTCGCAGATCTGCTTCGAGTTCTTCTCTCGCTAACGCAGTCCAGTCTGATATCTGGGAGCCGCACCATCGTCCCCATCTTGAGATGGTGTCGCGGGTCTTTTGGAGGGACGGGTGTCCTGCGAGGCGGTCTGGCATTGTGATACGATGGGCCGACTTTCTGACAGCGAGTTGATCTCAGCTACGGTGTTTAGGATGAGAGAAAAGTATGTATTCGATGCCGAGTATGCTGATGCTATGTGGAAGGGTGGGCGAAGAACAGAGTGGGTGGTATGGCGCGGTTGATGTCTGGGAAGGCAAGAGAAGTAGATGCGCGAGCGACTGATATTGACCTCACCTCGCCTGGTAAGGACGATAGAGCCAGGAGTCAGATGGAGGCGGTGGCGACTGAGAAAGAGTCTCCATCAATTAGTGAAGTCTCAATGATTCATGTTTACCACATTGGCAATGTGTAGCGGGACATGCACAGCAGTTCTAGTTAAGATGAAGAAGTGATGTAATGCTCTGGAGACAGCCACGCCAAGTTGAAGGACGGCAAGATGCCACGTAGTTTCACGTTATGATGTATATGAAGCAACTGGGGAGAAAGGTCTGCAAGTATCAAATCGCATGCATTGTATAGGCCACGCATATTGGCAGCCCATACTAGTCTATGTAACTAATCATTGGCTCGAAACTTTACTTTTATCAGATTCCTTCCACCCAAGTCACGGGGTCAGGTCCGCATATGCGCATGCAAACCAAAACGAGCATTTAAATCCCACCGCCGAGCTGGCCTTGGGAAGACAGCCACCATGATGGTTACCACAAAGAACCGGGGGTATCTTCCTTCGTAAAAAGGTTGGGTCGTGGCTAGACCTTCATGAACGCCATCTATGCAGAAACTTTTCCGTCGTCCAAAACAGGGTCATGCTGCTACTCTCCGCGTGTGGAGAGACCGAGAGACGCAAGGACGACGAGAAAGACGTTGTCGTCGAGGGGTATGACCGGGAAAAAAGGAACCGCTTTTGTCGTAAGATAAGGAAATGCTCAGAGAGGTCATCCGCGTGTGGAAGACTCGGAAAGCGAGAATCTATAGCTCCCCAAGCAGCATGCTTGCAGAAGAGCGAAGTCGTGAAATGTTCGTAATGCATGCCTTTCCGAGAAAGACGAGGGTCCTGCCATCTATGTTCGAGCTCGACAAGAGTGCGTCGAAGGGTATCGTATGCGAGAAGAGCTCGAAAACAGGCAGATCCGCAAAAAAACAGTCGCTGTCTATATGCTGATTGGGGTATGAGATTCCAGATTTCCGCATCGATCCGCGGTAACCGGGAAAGATTCGCAGAAAACATTCGCAAGTGAAGGAAATCGAAAGCAAGCCATCGGTAGCAGCGACACGACGGCCCAGGGTATCGTAGAGAAGAAAATGTGTCCCGGGCTGGCTATATCGTGAAGCGGTGCGTCGCACGTTTACCACCAAGAGTTGCCGCCAGGGCCAGATGGGTTGCCGTAGCCTCCACCAAAGCCACCGCCGCCGCCGCCGCCGCCGCCGCCGTAGCCGCCGGGAGCTGGAGGAGCGTAGCCACCGCCTGGAGCACCGCCGAAGCCACCTCCGTAGCCACCTTGAGGAGCACCTCCCCACTGGCCACCGCCACTACCACCGAAACCACCACCGCCCATACGACGAACGTCACGGGTAGCAGCGTTGCCACGGCCACGGCCGCCGCCACGTCCCCCACGACCTCCACCGAAGCCGGAGCCCTCACGAGCAATGGACTCGAGGAAGCTGGGGACCTCTTGGTTGGCCTCCTTCAACAGGTCAAGGAGATCGCGTACGACTCCGCGATTGCCGCGGTTGAAGAAAGCAGTGGCAATACCAGTGTTTCCAGCTCGTCCGGTACGACCGATTCGATGAACATAATCGTCAATGTCGGTGGGCAGGTCATAGTTGACTACGTGAGTCTAGAAAAATGTCAGTGAATGTCAGGAAGTGAGGAGTAGGGTAATACGTACGACATTCGGAATGTCCAGTCCTCGAGCCGCGACAGCAGTGGCGACAAGAATTGGGCAACGTCCAGTTCGGAACATCTCCAGAGCCTTCTCACGCTCGCGCTGAGTGCGGTCGCCGTGAATGGAGGTGGCGGGGAAGCCCTGGTTGATGAGGAAGTCGGACAGCGAGTCGGCCATACGCTTCGTCTCAACGAAGATCAAGGTGAGACCAGCACCGTGTGTGTGAAGAATATCAAGGAGAACAGAGCGCTTGTCGCCGTCCTCGACGTACTCAATCTTCTGGGTGATGTTCTCAGAAGTGGAACCGACACGACCGACCGAAAGGAAAATGTAGTCCTTCAAGAAGTCGCGGGCGAGCATCTGGATATCGCGGGGGAAGGTGGCCGAAAACATGAGTGTCTGGCGGGCAGCGGTAGGAGGCATGTCCTCACCCTCAACGATACGGCGAATCTGAGGCTCGAAACCCATGTCCAACATGCGGTCAGCCTCGTCGAGAACGAGGTACTTGATGCTAGCGAGGGAGATACGGCCACGCTCGATCAAGTCGACGAGACGACCGGGAGTAGCAACGAGAAGATCGCAGCCGCGCTCAATCTGGCGAAGCTGAGAGCCAATGTCGGCACCACCGTAGACGACGCAAGGGCGGACCCAGGAGCGGTATGCGAACTTGCGGGCTTCGTCGAAGATCTGGGAGACCAACTCACGGGTAGGAGCAAGGACGAGCGAGGTGGGGTAAGCCTTGCGTTGACGTCCGTATCCACCCTGAGCCTGTGCGGGAGGAGGAGAGGGGCCGTTCTGGAAGGCCTGGGCGAGAATGGGGAAGAGGAAACCACCAGTCTTTCCGGAACCAGTCTGGGCACAAGCCATGAGATCACGGCCACCCATGACGATGGGGATGGAGTACTTCTGTACAGGAGTGGGGACCTTGTATCCGGAGAGCTCGATGTTGCTCAGCAGGTGGTCATCGAGAGGCGGGTTTGTGAAACGTGTGACGGGTTCGGGGACACCCTGACCAGAGGCCTCGACGGGGATGTCATCGTACTTTTCGAAGTTGATACCGGTCTGTTGCTTGGAAGGGTCGTTGGGCACGCCGAAGAGATCGCGCTCGAGGCGCTGGTTGGGCGGGCCGGGAACGTGCTTGCCGTCCTTCCAGGCACCGTCGCCAGATCCGCGAGCGCCTCCAGAGCCACCACCGCCGGGCTTGCCGTAGGCGTTGGGGTCGAAGTTGCCGCGAGGGGCACCGCCCCATCCACCGCCTGGCGGACCGTCGCGACCGCGGGGAGTGAAGTTGGGTGCGTTGGCCCAGCCACCGGCACCGCCGCCGCCGTTCATCTGAGGGGGAGGACCCTGACTGTCACCAGTTAGCATACCTTCCTGTTTTGCGTCCTGGGTGTTGACTGACCCTCCGGGGCCCCACGCGCTGCCACCGAGACCGCCGCCGTTCATCATCGGGGGCGGGCCGTCCATGGGTGCAGGGCCTCCGGGACCGCCCTGGGGACGACCGCGAAGGTGAGGGGGGATGTAGGCAGAACGCTCGCCGTTGAAGCCGTTCTGGGGGTTGTGCTGGGAGTCGTTGATGTTGAGACGACCCATGTCGAGTTGTTCAGCCATGATGGGCGTGGTGGATTCGAGTTGGTTGAGGGGGTGTTTGGGGGTGTAATGTGCAGGGCGCAAATTACAGATGTACTGACTTCGGCTGGCTCGGCGGTGAGCGACAGACGAAAAGTAGCAGGTCTAAGTGACGAAACTCGTAACTCGCAGGCGGGTGCCTGAGACTCGTTCTGTCAGGAAAGAAGGGAACGCCTCTGTCCTGGAAAACGAGAAGTAAAGAAGTGAAGACCAAAAGAAAGGACTTCACAGGAAAAGAGCTTGTAAGGTTGTGCAATACACACAGAGTAGTTTTGGAGGGTGGGTGGTTAGGGAAGAGGGAGACGGCCGCAGGTAAGTTAAAAAAGCGTGTCGGAGAACCCTTCCCGCACTAGACCCTGTTGGCGCTAGCGCTCCCTCTCAGAGTTCTCAGGCTGTGGCGAGTGGGGAGCGGTGAACGTCACAGATGGAGGCTGTCGTGTGCTGCAGCAGGCTTGCTTTTCATGCGACATGCACTGTGACATGTCCGCAGTTGAACATAGTGGCGGCCTTTCTAGGTCCTTGAGCAGGTTCCAGCCCATCTTGTGCGACTGTGCCATGGCTTCAGATAACCCAACATTTGTCTTCTTTGCTTTTACCAGCAGGTATGTGCCCCTGGACGTGCCCTGGCCGTTATATATCGTCATCGGCGGGTAATGCAGGGACTGCAAGGACATCTTATCCCCTTTACCCTAGCTAGCGTCTTGACATACTCGAGAGCGATGTTCACCATGTATCAGATCAATGCTCTACTAAATGAACGTTTCTGCATTTCGTCGTAATCTAGGCCATGCTCTTCTCCTTGAGCCCACCCATAATGTTGCTTTGCCCTCCATTTCGCGATTTCAAGAAGAGCACGCAAATCGCGACGACAGCGCCGATAAAGAAAAGCTTCTGACCGACCGACAAACCATCAGCAGAACCGGTAGCAGCAGCCAGTCCAGGAATTTTGCCCTTGGTGGAAGAGGCCTGGGATACCTCAGCAATGTTGACGATATCGTCGTTAGACGGAGTCGCTGTGATATCGAGTTCGTCGCCAGGAATGGCTGGTTCAGCAAGGCCGTATAAATCTTGAAGAAAAAGGTACAACTATCAGCAGCTCTCCAACCTGAGGGGTCGACTCAATAGCAAAGAATGCGTACTGATGTCTAGAGTTCCGCGTGAATACCTTCCTCTGGCACCTCGAGCTCTCCGCTCTTGGCGATCTTGACAGTCTGGACCGGCTTGTCTCCAGCACCCTTCTTCACGTTCTCGATCTTCTCCACGACCTCGTAGCCCTCGAGGACCTCTCCAAACACGACGTGGCGGCCATCGAGCCAGCTGGTGATGACGGTGGTGATGAAGAATTGAGAGCCTAGGATAGTCAGTGCATGTTGCATGGAGTGAAAGCGAAGGGTACTCACCGTTGGTATCTTTACCAGCGTTGGCCATGCTGAGGAGACCCTTGCGGGTGTGCTTGAGCTTGAAGTTCTCATCGGGGAACTTCTCTCCATATATGCTCTTACCACCTGTACCGTCGCCTTTGGTAAAGTCTAGCCGTTGATCAGCATTGTGGATTCTCGGCCCGGGCATGAGTTGGACTTACCACCACCCTGGATCATGAAGTTGTTGATAACGCGATGGAAAGTGGAGCCTTCGTAACCGAATCCCTTCTCGCCAGTAGCGAGAGCGCTGTAGTCTATGTTAGACCCCAGAGTCATGCGTAGACTTGTGTCCTTTCGTACCGGAAGTTCTCAGCGGTCTTGGGAACGGTCTTGCCGTAAAGGCCGATAGTGATGCGGCCTAGCTCTTCATCGCCGTGGGTGACGTCGAAGTAGACCTGTATCTAGTCAGCAGGTCTGTCCATGCATCCGGTTGCGAGCTATGCACACCTTATGAGTGATCTTTGGACCCTTTGCAGCCTCGGTGCTCTGAGCAAAGAAGACGAAAGTGATCGAGAGGATCAAGAGGAGCGAAATGACAGCTCTCTGGATGGTAGCCATAGTGCCTGATTGTGTTGGGAAACAATCGAAGGAGGTCGCAAGGTTAAGTAGTTTGGAAAGCCCCCTGCGGAATGCAATGGTGGAGGAGGTGTTGAAACGTTGCGTTTTACCTAGGTAGAGCGATTGCCCGCACTGTCGCACTAGCGCCAGTTGGGTCTAGCGGGAAACGGAAGTCTGGAGTTCGAGATCAGACAAGACAATTGACACTCCAACACGCGAACTCGCCGTCGGAACGCTGATCCGCCATGGTACGCTATGAAACCGCCCAGTTCCCCTTGTGCGTGTCTTACTGACGGCTTAGGTGTTCATCAACGGCTTCAGCTTCACGGAAGCGACGCTCGTAAAGCGATCCCTCGAATCTTTCTTTGGCATCGGGCCCTCGGTCTCGCAGCGCATTATGGCGAAATTCTACATCCACCCGTGGGCGAAAGTCGGCAGCTTAAAAAACGCCACGGTCATGGATCTGACAGCGGAACTGGCGAACATGAAGATTGAGAACGATTTACGGCGGCAAGTGCAGGACGACATCCGGAGATTGAGGGATATGGGCACATATCGTGGAAGGAGACATGCTATGGGCTTGCCTGTGAGGGGCCAGAAGACAAGGACACAGGTATGTTTGGTCCTGGGAGAGTGGCTACGGTCTTCGTGGGTCAATGGGCTAACAATCGCAGATTGCTACTGCGCGACGGCTGAACAAGATGGAACGAGGCGGTAGTGGAAGAGTGGGACTTTAAGGTGTATGGAAGCCTGTACAAGTGTATAATACTGTATGGTGCGCGGGCACAGACTCGTGTCTACAATACGCAATTAGAAGGGAAACATAGATTAACGACACAACTTTATCGAGTATATCGGGGGCTTTTTCTTAGTATCTCCATTGGAAATGAGCCTATGCTTCGACAGTGTTACTACTACGGAGTCCAGCAACGCGGGGCCTTGTCTCATTGTCTCTGCGTCGAAAACACGATCTGTGATTCAGAGACAGCGTAGTTGTGCAGACCTGTTCCCGGTCTCGATCTCTTATTCGCAGATGAAGTCCATCAGTGCAAGTAACTTGCAAGTTGGCTAGTCGAACTGGTGGCTACCCCAGCACAGGATACGAAGCTGTCAAGATCGGTGTGGAGGATGTCAAGATTGATAGATTAATCACATCGAAGATTTTGTAGGACAGATTGGCAGCTGCTTTATGACACCCAGGTATCTTGGAGGTATAGGAGTTAACAACCTGAATATTGAAGAAAATGTCTGTTTTGGAGTCCTGTCATCCTGACATGGTTGGCAGTCATCTTGATCGAAAGCTGTAGGGAATGTGAGAATGGTCACAAATTCGATGGACAGTGTGCCCACTCAATACACTGTTTCGTGATGCTGGTTGACGACCGTTTACTGTTTTGAACAGTATGTCATGAAGCAAGTGGTTTGCAAACGCCGAGGCAATAATGAAGAGAATATCCTCTATGATAGCTATGTTCGAAGTTTGTTCCAGCGTCCACATCCTTCCCTGCTCAGAGATTGGCGTTGGCTTTGCGTTCGCGCAGTACGCGTTGCCTCCTGTAAGATTAGCCTCGAACGCTACACCAGGCGTTTTGTTTTGCTAGGACAGGCAGAACCCGGCCATGTTCTCACTATACCTGCGTGCATCGCTTTCCTCGTAATTTCCAGAGCAACACACACCTGTGGATATACCCAGGTTTAGCGAATGGGAACTGGAACTTCTAGAGGACGTGATGGTAGGCGTTTGTTCATTGAGCAAGGGTTCACCATACTAGGTTTACCCACGCAATAGCTGTCCCATGGCGCAAACCACCACAAGATTCCGATGAGGCGTTATTGGCCTCCCTCTTGGCGCCACTTCACTCTCCGATCTATCCTTCCTCCATGTTTGATGGCGGGAACTGTAGGCCTATGCGGCGATTAGCGGTCGAACGGGAGCTTGCGTTCCGGACGGAAGCTCTCACAGGCATGCGCATGCTTTGATGAGAGACTACCTTTTGCAAGCGAGGATAGCTTTCCTTTCACCGCAAGCCCCGCATGTTACCAGAGATGTAATGTCCGCGTTCCTGTTGGTGCAGTCTTGTCAACTTAGACGTTGGTGATTTGTCCTGCTCAACGCAGTAAAGCCCGTATTTGCAATCACGAAGATCATAATACTTCGGTCTTGCCCCCCGGAGCTTTGATATGCGAGATATAATTAGACGTGAGAGAGGCTTGTAGCTTGACCCAACTCGCATGGAAACAACTGTTCCGAGTTATGCTTGCCATGTCTTTGGGGTAGCGTCTGCCTCAGGTTCACCCTGTATCTGTTGAGGCGATGCGTGCGGTCGAAGGATGTGGGTGCTGGACCATCAAGGAGGGCTGTTCATGCCGCATCTTTACTCGCCCGAGTGATGATGTCCGCTGCAATGTCGCACCTCATTTCCACGGCTCGCGGTGGGTACTAGCGCAGAAACAGAAAAACAAAAGACGTTTCTCGGCCTCAATCATCCAAATTACCCCTGACCGAGCATTGCAAAGAGGAATTATTAGTCTGGGCCTTGGGTTCGTCGCGCAGCCTAGGTGCAGCTCGTGATCATCATGTGGCGACGGTTAAGGTCTAGTCGTTGAGCTATCAGCGGCTCCCTGCAGTACACTTCGCTTGACGGCGGATGAGTTTCAGATGTAATCGCAGGTCGGTAGGAATCGTATGATTTTGATATGCGTTCCAAGCGGCATGTATCCGCCGTGAGAATACTCGAACATTCAGCCGCGGTGCGAAGCGGATGGATGGGGCACCCATGGTGATGGAGGGCATGCGGTAGTCGTCTTTGAGAGTTTGCGCCTTGGAGCTGATGCATCTACGAGTGACAAGTGATCGACGGGTCTAGCCTCGATTCGGCCTGGCAAATCCTTCGCGCTGCAGCGACCCAGCAGCCCTTCAACTCGAACGCCTCCGTGCGCAAGAGACAATAATTTATTACCACGACCGTCCAATCGACGGCCAGACGACTGGTGGAATTGCTCTCGAGTCTGCCATGAGTCGCAGATTATGGCGCCACCGAATCAATACACCCTCCAGACTCGCATGCCAAATCATCTAGGCTGCAGCCAATAGGTGGGCATTTCGCACCTTTTGGCTTGTCGGGCTGTTGTCAGCTTGCCTGCGGGCACCGGCGACAGCAGACCACGCGGACATCTCGTTTTGCACCAGACCGTCGGTGGATGGTGGCTCGTTGTTGACTACGGCTAGCAAGCCACAGGTGTGCGCCAATGAAAAAGCCAAAGTAGCTTTCAGGCGCCTACACGAGCAGGTAGTCGACTGGGATGCAGATGGATTTGGGCATATCTAAAACGTGAGGGGACGCAGCCATCAAGGCGTGCGGAGGCGATCATGGAGACGACGGCCTACAGGGCTCGCTTCTGCTGCAGGAACCAGGCTTGACTTTGGCCCGGCTCCTACAAGGGCGGTTATGGCGCCGAATGAGAACCCACCAGGCTACGAGCCCAAATCTCTTCTGTTCCGGCTGCTCCTTCTGACGGAGACTTGTCTCAAGCTGCGCGGGACGCCAGATGCTGACGAGACTGCTGAGCGTGGCAGCTTTGGATTCACCAGACACTCAGAGCGTCACCGAAACACTAATCCCCACTGGCCGTCTGCTATACCGTCGACCAGATATCCCGGTCGTCCGCTAGCCCGTTTGAGCCTTGAACATGGCGGCGACGAATACAGACATGCATATGCTTCAGGAAAGGACGGCGGCACATCACATCCCTCAGCACCAGCCGCCGTCGCCCTTGCACTCTCTGTCCTCGCCTTCGCTTGCGGACAGTATTCGCAGCCTTCGCGACGACTCGACGCGCTCCCACAACGTGCCGGCCACGGCGGACGAGCAACACCCGCACCGAGCACGTCGCAAACCCGTCCCAAGCCCGCTGTATTCGACTAGTAATAGCGGCCCCTCGTACCAGCAGCTGTGCTACCGCGACGCACCACGCCTGGACGAACCGCGCAGTCCGCGCGAGAAGCTTGACGCATTGCTTGCGGAGGAGCAACAGCATACCTCGCCCATTCGCCCAACCCAGCCAGCGCATCCGCCTACACCACCCACCGTCCCCACCCCGAACTTCACGCAGCCGTCGAGGCCGTCTGCGTATGCCAAACTCCGCCAGGTGTCGTCTCCCACGCTGTCTTCGGCTGGCATTTCCCCACCAGCCTCGCCCGTCACCATGCCTCCACCATCACGCCCGAACCGGCCAGACACGAGACCGACGGTGCCTGTCCGCAACCCCTCGATAGACTCCGCCGCGTCCTCGCTGTCTTCGACGGCCTCCCAGAACCGCCCGCCCGCCAGCCATGCGCCTCGGCCATCGCAGGACACGAGCACCGCCAACCCCCCAGACATGGCCAGTCTGATAGCCGCTGCAGGCTCACCGGAGGCGGCCATGCTGGTCTTGTGGAAGGAGAAGCAGAACACGTCCAGCCACAACGCGCAGCTCTGGCGGCTGGTTGAGAAGCAACGGTCCATGATCATCGGGCTCCAGAAAGATCTCGAGCGCGCATTGAAGGACAAGGACCGCTACCGCAGAAAGTTCAAGGAGTACGCTGAGCAGCTGCCACCCGGCCCCGGCTCACTACAAAAGTCCGACACTTTCGACTCGGTCGTGGAACGCGAGTCCAGTCAGTCGCCAGCCCTTAGTGAGCAACCTGGTGACGCCGCTCGGCCCAGCGACACCAAAGCCACCGAGCACAAGACATCGCCCTTGACGCAAGAGCACCCCGCACCGCAACTCATACCAGACTCACAGCTAGCAACGTCGCCGTCTCATTCCACGGCATCCAACATCTCGTCAGCCGTAAACTCACCTACGGACTACTCCGTGCAACCCCTTAGCCTTGGTAGCAGGGGCCTCGGCCTCGACACTACGATGCTGCAGCCCGGCGATGCTGCTCAACCCCCAGCGCAAGCCCCGAAGCCAGCCACCCCCCCTCAGAACACCTCAGACGTGACGCTCGTCCCGGGCAGCTCACAGCTCCAGCCTCCGCAGATATCGCTAATCCAGGCTACGCCTGTCGTCGGCGGCGATGGCTTTGAATCACCCCCAAGAAAGACTCCGCAGCCTCTGCGAAAGGCACCGCCAGCTCCACTTAACCTGTCGAAACCCACAACGACCAGTGCACATCTCCACCGGGCCGTGCATGGCGACGATGTCGACTCTGATTACGACGATATACTGGAGGTGGATGAGATACCTGTTGTGGAGCTGCGAGGAAGGAGAAAGACTCGAGAGGAAGATGACAGGGTCCGTGAGGCCATGTATTCGAAAGATGAGGAAGCTCGAAGCAAGTCGAAGAAGAAGAAAAGCGAAAGCAAGAGCAAACAAGCGACGCCTTCTGAAACACCAGCAGGCGATCAGCCTCAGGCGGTCCCCGTTCCCCTTTCGCCGCGTCAGTTCAATGCGCTGCAATCGGGCCTTCCACTCTCTCCCCGTCACCCGCCAGCCAACTCTCTGAATGCTCTTCTTAGTCCTGCAAACTCCGATAGTTCTATGATGGCTAACCGAAGCGTTGCATCCCCACTCATGAGCCCAGGTCTACCATCCAGCCCCCGACCCACGGACAGGCCACTCGGATCGCCGTTACCCAGGAATCCTAAGCAGTCAATCGCATCACCACCCATGTCGCCGACTGCCACGCACCAGTCGGCTGCTCGGGCAATGCAGCAACAAGTTCCATTCCCACCAAACACACCTCAGTCATATCAGTCACCCCCAGTCAACCAAAGTCAACAGCCTAACCAGCTACGCAAAGAGGCTTCGACGGGCCTTTTGACAGTTCCAGGTGCACAGCCCAGTCCAGAATCACCATCGAGTAGCCCTACTCTCAACGATGTTCCGGATGCAGAACACGTCTACCGCGGACTCGTGTCAGACCAGTACCCTGGACTCTTGCTGCCCCCCAATGCACTGCCCTCCATCCAAGTAAAAGTCTTCTCGTCTCGTCTTCGGCCATCACGTATGAGCATGTTAGCCCCCAAGCCACAGGAGGAGGACCCTGTCTTTATTCTTGCCGTCTACGCCCGCTCCGATAACAAACAGCTGTGGCGTGTAGAAAAGACCATTGCTACGCTGCCTTCTCTAGACTCTCAGCTGAGGTCTTTGTGTGATTTTCAGGGACGACTTCCAGACCGTGCTCTCTTTGGAGGACATGCGCCTGCCAAGATTGACGCTCGTCGGGTTGCCCTCAACCAATACTTCGATACTGTCCTGGAAACTCCCATGAACGAGAAGACGGCCTTAATTGTCTGTGAATACCTGTCTACTGATGTAATAGGCGCCCAGGCTGGCGATAGACTGGCCCCCGAGCCCACACCAGGTCCGATAGTGTCTGTTCAGAAAACGCAGCGCAAGGAAGGTTATCTTACCAAGCGTGGCAAGAACTTCGGAGGCTGGAAAGCGCGCTTCTTTGTTCTGGATGGCTCAGAGTTCAGATACTTTGAGGGCGAGGGTGGTGCGCACTTGGGAACGATCAAGCTGCAAAACGCACAGATTGGGAAGCAGTCACAACAGCAGTCAAACCAATCGCCACAACGACGGGACGATTCTGAAGATAACCAATATCGACACGCCTTCCTCATCTTGGAGCCAAAGCGAAAAGACTCGACGAGCTTAGTGCGCCATGTGCTGTGTGCAGAGAACGATGAAGAGCGAGATGCTTGGGTCGAGGCTCTTCTGCAACATGTCGATATACCAGACGAAACTTCGCCAGTCGAGATTCGCGTTCCCTCTGCTACGCGTCTTCAAAAGCAGCAGGCCAGCCAAGATTCGGCACGCTCTCAGCGGAGAGAAAGCCCTGACATGGGAGAGCAGGATCGCTTGCAAGGCCTCAGCTATGACGACACGGTGCAAGCGCAAGCTCCCGTCCGCGGACCCAATAATCACCGTGATATGATGGCAGAAAAGCCGTCACGAGGGTCGCCCAAGGATTCGTCCTTCCTTCAAGATAATTCAGGTCACTATCCTGCAATCTCTGGACCAAGCAACGGAACCCCCATCAAGGACTCTGAGAGCTGGGGCAGCAAACCAGCGACAGGACCTACGACTGTCAAAGACAAGAAACGTAGCATATTCGGCTTTAGAGGCCGTGGCGGTTCTTCTGATCTCGCACCAGTACAGGTCAGCACCCCGCTGCAGCCGGCTGTAGAACATCGCCTGCCTCCGGGCCGCAGTGTATTTGGTATTCCACTTATGGAAGCTGTGGAGTTCACGCAGCCTGACGGTGTCAATGTGGCGCTGCCAGCTGTCGTCTACAGGTGCTTGGAGTATCTGCGAGCAAAGAAGGCAATCAGCGAAGAGGGCATCTTCCGGCTCAGCGGGTCAAATATTGTTATCAAGGGCCTGCGCGATCGGTTCAACAACGAAGGTGACATCAGGCTGCTAGACGGGCAGTACTATGACGTTCACGCCGTCGCATCGCTTCTCAAGCTGTACCTGCGAGAACTGCCGGCCTCTGTCCTAACTCGGGAACTGCATCTTGACTTCCTCAAGGTTCTCGGTAAGTGGTCTATCCGGATGACGTTGATTAGTAGACCATAGGCTGACACATTCTAGATATGGACGAGCGTAGCAAGAAGATCCAGAGCTTCAACGTTCTGGTACACAAGCTACCTAGGCCTAACTTTGAGCTCTTGCGACACATGGCGTCTTTCCTGATTGAGATTGTCGACAATTCCGGGGTGAACAAGATGACGGTGAGGAATGTTGGCATCGTATTCGCTCCGACTCTGAACATTCCGGCCCCGTTGATATCCTTCTTCCTGACTGACTACACGGATATCTTCGGTACTGCTCTCGATGAAGCAAGCTCCCCAATCCACGAGATCCGGAACAACACTTCTCACCTGGGAGACGACGCGATTCGATCTCCTCGGAGGCAGATGTTCTCAGACCTCCCAACGCCTGCATACAACGAGACCACATTCCAGCAGCGTATGGATCGACCGCCTCAAGGCTATCAAGGGAATAGCGCTCCCAACTATCCGCCCCCACAGCCCCCGCAGCAGTATCAACAGCAACATCAGCAGCAGTACGGCCAACAGCAGCAAGGTCAATACAACAGCTATGATTCGGGATTCATTCCCATGCGACCCAGCTACGATGCGCCAGCTTACGATCAGCCATATCACTCTGGAGAGGGATACGGCAGCTTGAACGGTGCTGTTCAGTCTAGCGGAGCTCGCGAACAGCGGCAACGAAAACGAGAGAGCGGTATGCTTTTGATGAACATGGGCATGGGCGGCCAACGCAAGGGCTCGGGTGGATCCAACCCTCCACGCGGAGATGGACGAATGGATGGACGAATGTATTCACAAAGCACCAACAACCCTCTAATGGTACGAGAAGAGACGGCGTTCGAGTGAGCAAGCCTTGGCTCGATTCGCGACAACGACGACACATGACGATGTACCAAGAATTCTGTCTAATTTTTGATTCTTAATTCATGGCCACGGACTGGATCTTTGGTTACTTGGAAGCGCCGAAGATGGCTATCAACAGTTGGTAGTCCTCTACGGAGCCTCATTGCGGGATTTGGTTTTCCTTTTGCGTGTTGTACGGATATTCAGCGATACCAGGCGTTCGGTGAGATGGAGCAGGCGACTCGGTCGGAGTTGTGTATGCTTTTCGCGTTGCATACCCCCGCCCCTTGCTTGCAGCAGGCCATTTTCTTTATTTCGGCGACAGCTTGGCTTCAGCGGTAGCGTGGCGCATGTTCGAGCTTCTTTTTCTGCAACTTTTGCTGAGATATCCTGGTTACTTTGATATATCCTTGGTGGGCTTTTTGGGTAGGGTGGCTGTACGTGTGTTGTTGCACTGCATTTGCGCAATTGATTAGGAAATGAATTGAAATTTGCATATCTACTCAAGGCATCCTCTCCTCCTGCTAGTAGGGAGGGTGATGTGTGGTAACTATTGTGATGGGATTGGGTGTCGTGTGTGATACGAAGAAGGCCGTATTTCTGGAACGGATTCAACACACCAACCACTCTCGATGGCGTCCGCTATATTCCATGGACGTGTACGAACGAAGGGTAAAGCGGCTGGTCTCGATGATGTAGTCAAGACGCGAGACAGATGAGTAAGAGCGAGCTTCCTATACACGTATCGCCGTGGTTGTGTAGAACCTCAGCAGCGCAATGGTTGACCATGTTCGTGATGGGATCGCGTTGAATGGCATGTGTTCGCGCCGGTCCTAGCGTCTGAGCTTGGGCTTGGATGCGCTTTCCGAGCTGAGACGCATCTTCCTTCTCCGCGATTGACGACTGCGACCCGCCTTCTTGCTTGTCCGAGACGCGCAAAGCCCGAGACAGCGCATTGCCGTCGCAAGTCGCAAGTCGCAAGTCGCAAGTCGCGCGCCACGGCCATCTCCAGTCAGGTCGCGCGCTCAGACGACAGAGGGCCAATCCCATCCCCCAGCGCAACCAGCACAGGACTAGTGGAACCAGACACAGAGCACCCAGAGCTAATCCCCGAACCGCATCTTCGCTATGGACGACGGAGCTGCTGCTACGGCGCCTCTGCCTGCGCGCCCCGACGAGCCCGACACGAGAAACAGCCTGCGACACATTCTGGCCGCCGACCCTCCGATGGACGACTCCAAGCCCTCGCCCTCGCAAGCCAACACGCCTGTCCCCGATGGGAGCGAAGCTGGCGGCGATGCGCCCGACGCTGCCCGCCCAGTCAACGACACAGACCCGGCGAGGCCGTACTACACGGCGACGACGACGACGACGCGCCGCAATGCCAACGGGAGCGTGTCGTCCGTCTACAGCGGCAACAAGATCAAGCATCTGAAGAAGGACGACGGCATCCCGCTGTGGCGCAAGGACATCCAGTTTGACTTCCTCAAGCTCGTCTTCGAGGACGACAAGCCCGTCTTCACCAAGCAGTCGGACAGTACCAGCGGCCACACCTTCGCCGACATCTACCTCGATGCCATGGCCAAGAGCAGCAAGTGCAGCAAGATCCTCAAGGACAAGCTGCTGACGGAGCGCCCGGCTGCCATCAACATGGCCATGGTGTGTCTGCTCGTCAACGTCGGCCGCATGAACACGACGCTCAACTGTAGGCCACCTGCTGTCATTTATCGAGCCCTTCTAACATGCGGCAGTCTTCCCTGAGATGCGCGCCCAGCTGCGGACCTACCACTCCATCCCCTCCCTCCAGGCCCACCAAGACCCGAATGCCTACAAGCAGCTGCAGGACGCGCCCCGCTTGAAGTCCATCCTCAAGGGTGCCACCGAGGACCAGGAGCAGCCCAGCACCATCGAGGAGATCATGGCAGCTTCCGTCCCGCGTACCAACCCCGTCAATCTTATCTTCGTCCTGTCACAATACGCGCCCAAGATCTCAGAGCTGCACTTCTTCCCGCCGCGTGACTTCTTCGACCTCGTCATGCGCTCCAACTTGAGCAGCAAGAGCAGGGCCACGGCCTTCCTCTGGCTCATGTGGTGGTATCTCGAGAGCGACTTCACCAAGGAGGCTGCAGAGAGCAATCCTTTTGGTCCCGGCCAGATGGGACCGGCCGATGATCCGACTACGGCAGAGTTCCCTATTAAGTGCCCGCCTTTTGAGATACTCTCGCCAGAGCAGGAGGCGCTGGAGAACGTCGACTCCATCGAAGAGAAGACATTCGGTGAGATTAAGCGCAAGGAGAGGACAGCTATATTGGCAAGCGACATGGCGCCGGTCGTGACAGGCCCTAAGCGTACGAACAAGAAGGGTGAGTGCTGTTGTTCACCTGTGACTCCGCTCACGTCCGACTGTAGCTGACCCATCTCTAGGCTTCAACCAGAACCCAGTCTTCTCAATCGCCGCCGATGATGGTGCGTCGACACCTGGACGCGACAGGCAATCGCCTTCCCATGGTATGCTGCTGTCTAGCCTTTGCGACGGCACCGATTTAACAATACCAGGCTCCGCACGAGGACGAGGCAAGCTTGCAAAATCTATCATCGAACGAGACTACCCCTCAGACACCGACCGGACCCGGTCTGCGTCTCCTCCGAACAGCGTCTACAACACAGCCAAGAAGGTGGCTACACCCAACATGCGCATCAATACCCTCCTCAACGAAGATGGACCGGCTTCGTCTCCTGCGCCCAAGGGCCCCGGCCGCGGGAACTGGTCGCGCAATCGCGCATCAGGCATAGGCGCCGGAGGAACACCAGCCGCACGCTCTTTCAAGACAAAACTCGACGCTCCACACTCGCAAGATGGCCAGTCCCCCTCTACATCCGCACCCACCTTCAACGGACCACACGGCTTCTACCTCCCGCTCAACGGTTCCGACCCCTCGCATAAACGAACAAGACCCCTTACACAACACCAACTAGCTGTCGAGCAATACAGGAGGCGACGCGTCGACGTCATCCTTGACCGAGGTATCCGCATCGAGTACGCCGCCGCAGCCAAGCGCCGCCGCAAAGCCAACCCCTTTATGCGCAGCTGGATCCGCTGCAAAGGCATGGCCGACGGCTACGACACAGACGAAGAATCGCACGCGCAATTTGCCCAACTTCCCGAATACGAACTCGGCACCAAAACACCCCCGCCCATGCCCTCTGGCCTCGTACCTCTCGACTTTGGCGGCGAAGTCAACGACCATGGCGAGGAGTCTTACTACCGCGCTAAGATGCTAAGTAGAGCCCTGCGTCGCTTGGATCGCTGGGAGGGCGGCAGAAGTGCGCTTAGAGCCCGACCCAAGGGTGAGAGGAGTAGCGGATTGCCAGACGTCCATGACAGACCTGTTTTGGGTAGTGAAGATGAAGATGACGAGGATGATGGCGATGACATGATGGATGTGGATGAGATGGAGAGGAGGGAGGCGTTGGAGGATGCTAGTGAGGAAGACAGCGATGATGATGTTGACATGGAGGGCGAGAGGAGATGGGATCCTACTTCACTTCCGCCATTGCCCAGGATGGCTTGACGCGGCGTTCGGCTGAGTTGAGTAGCTGCGGAGTTGTGACTTGGGCATTCTGTCTTGTTTATTGTAAGGGTCGGGCTTCTTGTGTTTTGATAGGCTGGGTAGCATGGCGTTCATTGCGTGAGACGTGTAGTCGTCTTTATATGGAAATCGGAAAGATACATTTGCCAGATTTTTCGTTGAAATCGTCATCATAAAAGACTGGGTGGATAATAGTATCTTATTATATGGGTGCGGCCTTGTGTTAGTCGGTGTAGGCTGATGACGAGACCACCGTGTTGGTACAATCAATGCTAATTAATGACTACTAAAGACATGAAGCCTAGTGGAGACCTTGGACTATTGCAACCGTATATTATCGTGCAAGGCTGGGCTAAGGTTCGGCTAGTTGTCGACGCCAAGTATATGAACTTCTTGACTCGCATTCCCATATTCTACATCACAACACTACTGACATTAACTTGAAGCTTGAATTCGACAAGAACATGCAGCAAACTGACTTCATAACACCACAACTAAGCTAACAGAAAGTTCAATGGTATCATCACGAACAATAACACCCTAACGAAGTCATGCCCCACTCTCAACTACCACCGGACGTCTCCTAGCAAATTATTCACGCGCACTCATGCAACAGAAAATCCCTGGCTGCCGCCTCAGATCAGAGCTTTCGCTCGACGACGACAAAGATGCTGACCAAGAAGATACCGACGGGCGACCTGGTGCTAAATTGTGCTCTGCTCCCACACCTGCCTACGGCGCAATCGTATAGGCATTCCCATGTTCGTTGTCTCCACCTGCATTGGCATGGCCATTAGAAGCGAAGTTCGTATGCCCGTTCGCAAGCCCATTCGTGTGTCCGTTCGTCAGCCCCCCATTCGCATGGCCATTGAGTCCCGTCGCAACAACATCCTCGCTATCGTAGTGCAGCCGTAGACTCGTGGGGATGGGACTTTCCTTCGAGCTCGAATCAAGATAATGTCGCATCGTTATGCCGGCGAGTTTGTGCTCCGTGACGGTAAAACGACCCTGTTTGCCCGGTGCGCGCCGCACGTTTGGTAGTTTGAAGACTTCACGCAGCGTCGCGGCGAGAGAGGGGCCTACGAGGCGGGCGCCGAAGCAGAAGTGCAGGCCATGGCCGAGCAGTGTGTATTCCTTGAATGGGCGATGCGGGTCTAGGATCTCGGGGTTGGGAAACGCAACGGGGTCCATGGCGGCTTTGGAAGTTGCGATGAGAATCGTGTGGCCCTTTTTGACGGAAACAGGGCCGCGGACGCCGTCGTTGACGGTAATGTCGCGCGTTGCAACGCGAGGTAGGCCGGGAACAACACCAACGTGGCGCATGCCTTCGTAAACGAAGCCTTGGAGTTCGCGGTCCGAGGTCGTAGGGTCCATGTGCGATAGCTCGACGATTCTTGCCTTGTACTTTTCGTACCCGGGAGATAGGAATAAGTCGATCAGCAGACTGGCTTGCTGTGTCAGGTTTCCGGCGACGGGCGCTCCCATACCGATGCAGTCGCCGACCATGTCTCCGATGGGCAGCTTGGTGTCTGCTAATGCATGGTAGATGCGGTCGGCGTGTGGGCCTACCTCGAAGGCGGAGCCCTTGGCCATCCAGTCGACGAAGCCTTCTAGACGACCAGTTTGCGTCTTGAGATGGGTTTCGAAGATGGAGCGGAGGGGGGCTGCGGCTTCCATAGCGCCTGCACGCAGCTTCCATTCGTTGTGCGGCATTATGTTGAAGGACTGGTACATGACTGGGAGTAGGTTAGCACGCTATCGCAGGTTCAAGAGCGCTGGACTGGTTACTTACACAGTACGAGATACGCTAGGAAAGCTTCGTGGACGGAGAGCAAGCCTCTAGGTTGCTCTTGTGTCTTCAGCGGGAGTGCGAAACGCTCAGCGAGCCAAAGGATTGGCGTGATGTTGGTAACATCACGGACAATGTCGATGCTCATCCTGCCCTTGGCACCTTTGAGCGAGTTCTTCTTGATGAGATTCCGTACATTGGTTGTGAAGAACTCGTTAATGTTCTTCTCGAAGCCCTCCTCAAAGAAGACCTTGTGCAGAATCTTGGAGCGCTCATCATGCTTCTTCTGCTCATCCCAGCCGATCATGAAGTCATGTCCAGCAGTACAATTGCGAATAGCTGCCTGATACATGACAACGAAACTCTCACGGTCTTCGAAGATTTTCTTGCAACCCTCCTGGGTTTGGACGCTGATGATGTCGTAATCGCTGGGAGGGCGTCTGAGGTCGTACTTTTCAAGCACGCCATTGCCTTGAAGAATCTCCTTCGCTGCTTTGGGAGTGTAGAAGGGCAGCAGCGCGTAACTGGAAGTTCCCTTGAATCCACCTGGAAGACCCTGGAAGAGCAGCTTAGGAAACACACCACCGTATGCACCGGGTGTTGTCTCCGCCAGCAAAGCCGCTCCCCACTGCGTAAGAGTGTTACTGTTGAAGTCGTAGCTCAGGAAACGATCACCGCGCACTAACGCGACGGCGTCGTCCAAGATACCTCGACCAGTCGTTTGACCAGGGCAGACACCGCTTCCCGGCATGGCAGGCTTCGTGCACTCGGCCATCAATCCGGGGTAGAGTTCCATGTTCTCCATATGGCCGTACAAGAGCTCGGCTGCTCGTGCCGTCTCTTTATCCGAGCACCAATCTTCAAACGTATCGTACGGCTTCAGATTAAGATACCGGCGGAATTCGTTGAGCGTGCAGACATTGAACATCTCACGTGCCTGCAATTGGCCCATGAGATCAACGACCTTCAGACTGGCTGGGGTACCGTGGGCACCAAACGCATGAGCAGGCTCCTCGATGCAGTTCTTGATCAGCTCAGAAAGCTGGACATCGTTGAACCTGCCGTCAGCGCCTCGCTCGAGGCCTCCAAAAGTCCACTCCCAGGGCTTTTTGCTCATCAAGTCATGACCGTATACCTTCATGACTTGGTGAAACATCTCGATCGTCACATCGTCGATGTGGCGGATGTCAGGGAAGACGGAACGGATGATATCTTCCATCCATGTCTCATCCGCAGCACTGAGAGCAGCGTGCCAGTGGTAAAGGACAGCAAACTCCACGGATACATGGCTGCCGGTTCCGCGCTCGACACGTGTGCCGCCTTGCTTGATCTCTTTACCAAGATCAAGTGACCACTCCGAGTTGGCTCGTGGTGTGTTCAGGATGGCGGCGACATAGTCTTTCAGTACGACTGAAGCAAAGAAGCCGACGTTAATGTTGCGCGTGATCTGGAAGATGTCCTCGTCTTGCCTGAAATCGAGTTAGCCTCATGTCGCGATACAAGGATTGCAGCAAACTTACCATTTCCTGCCTGCCTCGTCCAGAGTATCCCAGGGCTTGTATTTGCCGTCTTCGTTCACTGACAGCAGCGACTCGGCGACGTGGTTGTGGTTTCTCGAGAACATCAACAGTACTGCGACTACACCCGGGGGCATCATCATGATGCGCTCCGAGGCGATTGAGTCTGGGTAGATCAGGCCATCCTTGTAAGTTCGCACGCGATGCTGCTCCTTCTCTGTATTGCCATACAGGGTGCTTAGGTCAACATAGCTCGAAGTCTCATTAATCCAAGGATCTGTCCTAGAGGTTTGGAAGCATTCGTGTATGACTATGGTTGCGAAGGAGAAGAAGAGCCGATTCAGACCAGAGGGGTGCTCGCGGAAAGGACCACTGCGCTTGAGAAGCGCCTCGTATACGTCTTCAACGTCAGGTAAATTTGGCCCTTAAGAAGTTGTCAGTCCTGATTTGCATGGGATGTTAGGATGATAGCAAGAGGGTACTTACCTTTCGGCTTGGTGGGCGGTACATTTCGCGCATATGGCGATCCTGCCTTGCCCATTTCAGGGTTGTGGGGATTGTTTCCTGAGCCGTCGTGCTTCCTGTATCTTGCCGAAGGGCCGGCGTGCGTAGGTGTTGGGTGTGGTAAGTCATTCCAGAGCATGCTGATGAAACCATCCGACACCTTTGCACTGAGACCGCTGTTCAAAGGAAGGCCCTGTAGCATCTGAACTCCCTTCTCGAGGAGAAGTTCTTTGTCGTCCAGAGGCTCACCGGACGCGAGTGTCGTAATGGCATCGAGGGCAAACTTGGCATCCTTAACACCGAGACCTCTAATGTCGCTAACGATGCCAGTCTTCTGGTGATTCTTCATGCCACTCGATGCTTCCGCTGTTCGGCCATCGCTGGCTTGCGTAGGCTTCCTCCTGATCTTTCCGATCAATGCTTGTATTTGGCTAGGCATGATGAATAACTGTGTGTATGACCATGTGGAAAAGATGGGAATGGGGAGAATATGAATCCCAGGGCCGGACGGAGTCCACAAAGTAAGTTCAGCGTAGCATGCTGTTGATCTGGGAGGCGCAATGCTCCCCACGCAGGAGCTTGGCCATGGCAAGCAGCGGCGAGCCAGTTGCGTGGCGACGATCGCTAGCAGCTACGGTGTGTTGATCAGCATATGCACTCGGCGAACAATGTCCTGCGGCTTCCTCAAGGGCGGACGAACCCATGCCTGCATCGGGACGATGTGAGTAGCGTCCGGATCTTGATATCGTCAGAGCTCTGATGGCTACAAATGTCCGACTGCTCATTGGTCGTGACTTCCTTTATGGAGGGTAGCGCCAGACGGATTCTGCGCTACCTTCGCTAAGAACTGACAGAGGGACATCGAGCACGGCATGACAAGTCCAAGGAATGATCAGTGAGCGGTCCTCAAGACCCACAGCGTAGTAGCACCATTGGCTCCATGAGGAAGCGACTAACAAGACCCACTCGCGACGATCCATGGATGGCCTTTGTGACATTGCGAAGTAAGTACAAAAGCAATGTGTAGCCAGGAGGGGGGTATGCATGCCACGTTTCAGGCTTCAGCACTTTTGGTTGCCTGGGGAGCCGTTGTGGTATCACTTCGGCTGTCTCCCGATGGGAGCCTGCAGAAGATGTCGCAACCATGGTGGTTGATACCATGATAGACAGGAACGGCGACCTGAACTCGCGACCTTTCCGAATAGAGACGTGGACAGAAGCCATGGACGAACTACCAAGCGATCGGCATCCCGATTCAGCTTTTTTCGGCTGAGTAGTAGAAGAAGACTCTAGCGCTTGCGGCACCATAATTGACCGACCTTACTTCCCGACGAATGGTCGCGCAGTCATGTGCTAGCAGGTGGACAGACAAGAGTGAGTTTCAGCTGATGTGGTGGCGGTCAACAACAGAAGTGCGAGCTTGCAAATCTCCGAGTAGGGTGCGGTATCAGGCAGGCACTAGCGACGGCGGTCA